CTCATTCTCATTCCCATTCTCATTCTCATTCTCATTCTCATTCTCATTCCCATTCTCATTCTCATTCTCATTCATTCATTCTCATTCATTCATTCTCATTCTCTCTCATTCATTCTCATTCTCATTCTCATTCTCATTCTCATTCTCATTCTCATTCTCATTCTCATTCTCATTCTCATTCTCATTCTCATTCATTCATTCTCATTCTCATTCCCATTCTCATCCTCATTCTCATTCTCATTCTCATTCTCATTCTCATCCTCATTCTCATTCTCATTCTCATTCATTCATTCTTTCTTTCTTTCTTTTTTCTTTCTTTCTTTCTTTTTTCTTTCTTTCTTTCTCATTCATTCATTCATTCAGTCAGTCAGTCAGTCAGTCAGTCAGTCACTCACTCTCACTCACTTACTCACTCACTCACTCACTCACCCACTCACTCACTCACAAACTAACTAACCGCCTAACTAACTAATTAACACACAAACATAACAAACTAACTAATTAGGTAACTAACAAAGTAACTAACAAAGTCATTAGCGAAGTAACTAACTAGCTCGCTAGCCAACTGGCTCACTAGCTAGCTAGCTGACTAGCTAAGTAGCAAACTAGCTAACGAGATAACGAGCTATCTAGCTAACTAGGTAACTAGCTAACCGACGGAAACACGAAGACAAGCAGAAAAAACACGGATTCCATGGCACCATTGTTGCCTGATGCCGAGGCGGATTGAGCTAAAAAGGCCAATGTCAGTCGAGGCTGGCTTCGTTCTCCAGTCATATCAAGATCTGCCATGGATTGCCATGGTGTTGACAACATTGTGCTGAGAGAGGCAAAGCCTTTGGCAGAGCAAACGGGGTAGTCAGTGTGTAATACTATCCCTGTTTGGTTTGCGGCATGTTATCATGTTTTGCTCTTTTGAGATCATGAAACCATGAAACCATGAAGTTCGTTTTTGTTTTAGTTTTTGAGTCGATTGATTTGTCGTAGCCTCATTGGCCCGAGAGACCGGGACCTGCTCGAAGAAGATAGAGATGCTGAGCAGCTGGGCAAGGCGAGTGCTGGGTGGGGATGAGGACAAGCCGAGCTCATCCGGAGTATCCGGTGCGGAAGGAAGTGAGCCGCCGAAACTGCCGGTGACATCTCGTGCCTTGAGGAGAAATGTTGGAAATGATGTTGATGAGAGTGACAAGGCCTCTGAAGCATCCGAGCTCTCACCTCTGAGAGGTGCAGAGACGCCCGGCTCACGGCGGCACGGAGTGGAGTGCAACCCTTGCGCTTGGTATTGGAAGCCTCAAGGCTGCATGCGAGGTAGTGAATGTGGATACTGTCATCTCTGTCCTGAAGGTGAAGTGAAACTTCGAAAAAAGGTAAAGGTGGCAGCCATGAGAGGTGTAGCCAGTCCCGCATCTACCACGTCAAGCCTGTCGCCTACAAAGTTTCAGAAGGAGGAGGCAGATATAGAGGTACCTGACCGTCAGCCCAGCATGTCAGTTGGAGCAACACTGCATGGGACTGGTGAATGTAAGCCTTGTGCGTGGTTCTGGAAGCCAAAGGGCTGCCAGAACGGCGAGGAGTGCCGCCATTGTCACCTTTGCCCACTGGGTGAAATCCGACAGCGAAAGAAAATGAAAGATAGACTTGCTCGGGAAGGCGGTTACAGTCAGGAGGACCTCATGATGCCAATGGAGCCACTGAAAGTGGAGATTCCAGGCGCAGCAGGCATATCTCCGACATTTGAATCTTTGGAATGTGAGGAACCCCAGAAGGTGGCGCCATCTCCTACTTCGCAACCAACCGATGCAGCCATTGCGCCACCCCCAGGGTTGGCTCCAGCTACAGGTGTGCCTTCATTGGGTTCTGCCTCGCATGGCACGGGGCTTTGCCGTCCATGTGCTTGGTTGTGGAAGCCCGGAGGGTGTCAGAATGGCGTAGAGTGCCGCCATTGCCATCTCTGCCCGGAGGGTGAGCTAAAGGCTAGAAGGAAGGTGAAAGCTGATCTCGCAAGGCAAGAGTCTTTGGAGCAGGAAATTGCCTCATCCCCACTGGCTTTGAGCTTGGCCCAGATGCTAGAGGAGGAGGATGATGCAAAGTACCAGGTAGAGATCAGTCCTTTCATGATGGGCACTGAAAGTGCTGATGCGGCAGCCCATGTTTTTCCTTCTGAGGGTTCGAAGTTGCATGGCACTGGCTTTTGCAGGCCTTGTGCATGGTTCTGGAAGCCAAAAGGCTGCGACAATGGGATGGATTGCCGCCATTGCCATTTGTGTCCCCAGGAAGAGATCAAGAACAGGCGCAAAGCAAAGCAGATGATGCAGAATGACCCGGGGAGCCCCATGATGTGGGGCGGTACAAGCTGGACTCCTTTGTCTGCAATAGATTCCATGATGACACAGACGCCAGCATCAATGTTCCCAGGCCGTGAGTTCTCTGATCCCACGGTGCTGACACCATTGGACCTTGGGACCTCTCCAATGCAAAGCTCCAATTTTGATGCTCAATGGGATCCTTTTGGGGCACCTTCTCCAGTTTCACCAGAGTCGCCCAAGCTTGCCATTGACCTTGCCAGTTGCCTGCCGGTGCCTTCTGCAGGTTCCGCACTGCATGGAACTGGAAAGTGCAAGCCATGCGCTTGGTTCCACAAGGCAGCTGGATGCAGCAATGGCGACTCATGTGCACATTGTCACCTTTGCCCAGAGGATGAGATCAGAAACCGCAAGAAGGCAAAAGAAGCTGCACTACGTGCGGGCGCTCTGGAACCAAAGCGAGATGCAGATAGTCGGAACCCACGAACTGTGAGGATTGCCCCTCTTTTGGCTGGGTAGGGAGCGAGCGCAGGCAGAGTTGATTGTCTAAAGCCAAGTTTCGACAGTTGTCGTTCATGTGGACGTGTCTGAAGATGGCCGTGGTTTTCATATTGAATATACGGTAATTATAATATATATGATTTAATATAAATATAAGTCGCAATTCGCAATTGACAGTAATTTTTCTTCTCGAACTGAAGCCTTTAAGCCTTTGTCCGTCCACATTTACATCGGAATACCTCAGCTGATCCTCTAGCTAAGCTAGTTCAGCTGAGGTCTTTTTGCCGTTCCGAAATAATTACGCAGGTCAGCCTGGATGTTGGAAGCTAGCATGGCTAGCCGCATGATTCCTATAGCAGCTCATGAAGGGCGCATTTTTTTCCAGTGACAGATTAAGAAATCAATATCAAAGGTTGAAAAACAGAAAACATGCCAATCCCGCTTCGAAAACCATCCAATCAAATTTTAAGATCAGATTCAGTCTGTTCTGTCCGTTCTGTCATTGGGATGGGTCTCACTCATACAATTCACCGCACGGGACAGTAGGTCGGGTCTCCTGACCCGTCTTGCAGGCGTAGGCCAGCCAAGTGCCTTTGAAGCCTTGCTCGTGGTGCAATATATGCAATGCTGTTTCACCTTCCTGAAGTCAAGCCTGAACATCAGATTCCCATAGAGAAGGCATCATCATGACAATATGACTGTCATGGAATAATTACATGCATTCCATGATATTCTACATGATCCTATAAATTTCCATGAAATCTTTGACCGGTTGCTACAGTATCTGATGTTTAAACTTGAGCCTTTGCCGCTGCATCAAAAGCAGTGAAAAATGATGGACGCTGTTGCCAATGTTAATCTGTGCAGGAACAACACGCAAAAACAAAGCAACCGCAGGAATGAGAATGGACATTATAGTATTCTAACGGAAGAATTGGGGAAGAAATGAATGGAAAAAGAAACCAAGAAAACTGACAATAATAACACAAAAAATGGTAAAGACTAGAATAAAGGAAGGGGCAGGCAAGTTTTCAACAACAAATGCTTCAAATGCAAACAAACAAATCACACACACACAACAAACCACCAAACCAAGTGACCAAGCAAGCACCTTTCACGATTTGACGGCACAGGTGTTGACCATCCCCGATGTCAAAGCAGATTGAGCTCAAAAACGCCAAAGTCAGTGGAGGCCAGCTTTCTACCCGGTTTTGCGCTCGCAATTCTGCTATGATGTTACCAAAACTGCGAGAGAGAGAGAGAGAGAGAGAAAGGGCATGAAGCCATGAAGTTTGTTTCTGATTCTGATTCTGATTTGTCGTAGCCTCTTTGGCCCGAGAGACCGGGACCTGCTCGAAGAAGATAGAGATGCTGAGCAGCTGGGCAAGGCGAGTGCTGGGTGGGGATGAGGACAAGCCGAGCTCATCCGGAGTATCCGGTGCGGAAGGAAGCGAGCCGCCGAAACTGCCGGTGACATCTCGTGCCTTGAGGAGAAATGTTGGAAATGATGTTGATGAGAGTGACAAGGCCTCTGAAGCATCCGAGCTCTCACCTCTGAGAGGTGCAGAGACGCCCGGCTCACGGCGGCACGGAGTGGAGTGCAACCCTTGCGCTTGGTATTGGAAGCCTCAAGGCTGCATGCGAGGTAGTGAATGTGGATACTGTCATCTCTGTCCTGAAGGTGAAGTGAAACTTCGAAAAAAGGCAAAGGTGGCAGCCATGAGAGGTGTGGCCAGTCCCGCATCTACCACGTCAAGCTTGTCGCCTACAAAGTTTCAGAAGGAGGAGGCAGATATAGAGGTACCTGACCGTCAGCCCAGCATGTCAGTTGGAGCAGCACTGCATGGGACTGGTGAATGTAAGCCTTGTGCGTGGTTCTGGAAGCCAAAGGGCTGCCAGAACGGCGAGGAGTGCCGCCATTGTCACCTTTGCCCACTGGGTGAAATCCGACAGCGAAAGAAAATGAAAGATAGACTTGCTCGGGAAGGCGGTTACAGTCAGGAGGACCTCATGATGCCAATGGAGCCACTGAAAGTGGAGATCCCAGGCGCAGCAGGCATATCTCCGACATTTGAATCTTTGGAATGTGAGGAACCCCTCAAGGTGGCACCATCTCCTACTTCGCAACCAACCTATGCAGCCATTGCGCCACCCCCAGGGTTGGCTGATCTTGCAAAGCAAGAGCCTTTGGAGCAGGAAATTGCCTCATCCCCACTGGCTTTGAGCTTGGCCCAGATGCTAGAGGAGGAGGATGATGCAAAGTACCAGGTAGAGATCAGTCCTTTCATGATGGGCACTGAAAGTGCTGATGCGGCAGCCCATGTTTTTCCTTCTGAGGGTTCGAAGTTGCATGGCACTGGCTTTTGCAGGCCTTGTGCATGGTTCTGGAAGCCAAAAGGCTGCGACAATGGGATGGATTGCCGCCATTGCCATTTGTGTCCCCAGGAAGAGATCAAGAACAGGCGCAAAGCAAAGCAGATGATGCAGAATGACCCGGGGAGCCCCATGATGTGGGGCGGTACAAGCTGGACTCCTTTGTCTGCCATAGATTCCATGATGACACAGACGCCAGCATCAATGTTCCCAGGCCGTGAGTTCTCTGATCCCACGGTGCTGACACCATTGGACCTTGGGACCTCTCCAATGCAAAGCTCCAATTTTGATGCTCAATGGGATCCTTTTGGGGCACCTTCTCCAGTTTCACCAGAGTCGCCCAAGCTTGCCATTGACCTTGCCAGTTGCCTGCCGGTGCCTTCTGCAGGTTCCGCACTGCATGGAACTGGAAAGTGCAAGCCATGCGCTTGGTTCCACAAGGCAGCTGGATGCAGCAATGGCGACTCATGTGCACATTGTCACCTTTGCCCAGAGGATGAGATCAGAAACCGCAAGAAGGCAAAAGAAGCTGCACTACGTGCGGGGGCTCTGGAACCAAAGCGAGATGCAGATAGTCGGAACCCACGAACTGTGAGGATTGCCCCCCTTTTAGCCGAGTAGAGAGAGCCCATGAGAGCCGAGACAGATCAGGTTGTCTAAAAGGCAACTTTCCACAGCGGTTGTTCATGTGGACTTGTTCGAAGATATTTAGCACAGCAGAATTGTGATTATAATTACAATTGTTGCTGGTTCTCTTGCCCCCGGTCCACATTTACATCCAATAATTCCCAGCTGAGCTTCTAGCAAAGCTAGACCAATTAGCCGGGTTTTTTAGTGGTACTTTGCAAGCATTATGACATCTATGATCCGACGGCATGGTTGCATTGGTACCCAAAAACCGCAAATTGCCTGCTTCTGAGGGCAGGGCATTTGATTCTTGCCGCATTGATTGTCTCAAGGTTTTCTGGACTGATATGCCAGGCCCTGAATCTTGGCAGATCACAAGGGTGAGCGTGGCTTGAGGTGTAGCTGTCTATAAAGTTGCCGAGGGATGGATTGCCAAGATGGGAGCAATGCAAAAGAATAAAAGACTAATTGCAATTATTTCCCCCATAGTAGCAACGAATCCAGTTCTGCACTTCCAAAGTCCCAAGGAGAAGGAGTGTTATATATATATATATACTGTATATATTTCATCAATTTTCATCGCGCCATCGCAGTAGATTTGCTCCTACTTTATGTGCTAGTTGCCTCACCAGTATCCTCGCGTCAGAGTAGAAAAGATGAACCTCCAGCTGCCTGGCTTTTCCTCAACACTTACTTGCGCCATTTCAAAGAACCTTTCCTGCATAGGTGCTTCAAACGTGTGTTAACCTAGGCAGCACTGCCTTTTGTTCAATGATTCAACGATGATTTATGAGGATGATTGTTCGGGTCCATAGTAGAATCTGGTTCAAGAATCAGATCCTCCCGCAATGAAGTCTGTTACATGCCTCGTGGCATGCTTGGTCCAGTGCTTGGTCTTCCCTTCCCTGGCGTTGACGGGCGAGTTCCTACAACGAGACCATGCCTTGGCGGCAGAGCAGCCAGCAACGCCGGTGAAGCCTCCGAAACCCATGTTTGGACCTGAGGCTGGGGACCTGCAAACATCCCAACTTCACTGGGATTCGGGTTGCCTATGCCTGAAAATTGGGTACCCATATCCATCCATATCCCATAAGAGAGAGAGAGAGAGAGAGAGAGACCCGAAATCCGCTGGTGAATTGGATGCAGACTTCTCCCAACTCAAATGGTTTGGGTAGACCACAGTTTCAGGCACACCCATGTGGGCTCTGGTATCTCTGGTGGTCATTCCACTAGATCTGACCTGAGGCATATGTCCTTGGCATCATTGCACCGGGCTCGTTTCTGCTGGGACTTAGCGTAGTAGTAGCACTTCGTTACTACGAGAGGCACAACCCGAGCACTGACTTGGAGACAGTTGAACGTCAGCCTGAAAATTTGGATGAGGATGTCTACGGAGCAGGTGTCGCAACTCTTGTCCGAGATTCATTCAGCTTGGTGGATGGCAAGGGGGACCTCGTACTTCGAATCTCCCGTTTGTCCAGCAGTTTGATTCTCATGATCTTTGTCATTGCACTTCAGGTCTTTGTTATTCTTCAAATGCAGAGCCTCGTGGCAAGCAGGGCAGTCACAGAGATTCGCCAGATCTATGGGCGCTATGAATTTGTCATGTATGGTGCGGAAATGTCGCATGTCTACCTCACTCCAAACGGCTTCCCATGTGGTGCAGACAAGCAGTACTTTGATCCTGCAAACTTTGGACGTCTTACGGAAGATGAACAGGCAAGTGCTTGCCGAATTCCATTCTCGCAGCCACAACTTTTGCTTCCCATTTTGTGACCTGGCAATTTTGATAGTCAAAGGCACGTGACAATTTCTTAGAGAGAGTGAGAGAGAGAGAGAGAGAGCTGCTTTTGTAGTTCTTGTTGCAATGGACATGAATGGACCCTCTCAAAGATACTGCACAAAACACGTCATACATTTTTCTACAGTACCCATTTCTTTTTTATATCTACATAACATGCATCTAGGATATTCTGAGATCATCTAAGGTTTATTTGGACGCTTACAATCGTGGCAGATCTTCGCCGCTGCGGGGACCTGTTTGTGCGCCTGATACTTGCAACACCCACGAGCTTCGGCATATTGGGTTGCTGATGGTTGCTGGAACTCCAGCCTGAAGAAAAGCCGGGTGAGATCAATTATGAAGAATATATACAGTTTGAATCAGTTTGATAATGTTTGATACATATTACTTTAGATTTACTCATTCGTACTTTAAAACAATCCACTTGTTGTACTCTAGACTAGTTAAATCTAGTTATATAATACGATATAATACGTAGTACTTTGCTGTACACACCACTCCCATGACATCCCATGACCATTGAGGATCACCTCCATGCGTGATGCAGTGGTTGAGAGTGATGGTGAATGTGAGATCATTGTGGGCTTAACGCGGCCCATCAAAGCCATGTTAATGTCCACCTGCATCCTGCCTCGCTACGTTATCGACGTCTACTTGCTTTGGCTTGGCTGTCGATGGCTTGCAGCCACGCCGAGCTTTGGGGACCTCCTACTGAATGCAGCAGCACGGTGTTTTATGATGGGTGAAATGTGAAAAAGCCCAAAGTGAATGAGTCACCATGTCGTCAAGGCACTAAAATGTCATCACTCCAGTCATCACTCCAGTCATCACTTTTCAATATATTTCATCACTTTTCCAACTTGATCATTTTGGTCTATAATTAGTCTATAATTTATAATGTGGTATTTTTGGTCTATAATTAGTCTATCAATGTCTATCATGTTCAATCTTTTCTTTCACTCTCGATTCAGTTCTCCCTGAGCTCAGGTCGCTCTGGAGTTCATCCTCTTGCTGAAAGATACCCTGTATGCGGGTGTGGTGCCTGACCGAAACAAGAGAGCAACGCAAAATACACTGATTCAACCCTGGCAGAAGAACCTCAGCATTAAACAGTTATAGCAGTTGTCAGAGACTCCAGTTTGTGGAGCGCAAAGCAATGCGTGCATTCTTAACTTTGAGTTGGGGTTCAGCTCTGTACAACTGAGGACAGAACCCGCAAACTATCGCGTGTTCCTCTCGCTCCTTGGAAGAGCTGTAAGGGTTCTTGACATTGTTGGCAACTTAAGAGACTCATCCAGCCACTCGTTTACTTCAGGTCATTCTTGCTGATTTTGGTCACAGTCATTTGGGCCTCTTGGACTTAATTCATGCATTCTGAGCAGCATTTGTATGTTGTATGTAATCATATGTAATCATATGTAATCATCCTCAACGAATTTGCCGCCTGTGGGCAAGGTGCTCTACTACGTCTATCGCTTCCAAGCCGTACTTCCTGACTACAAATGGGATGTTGCAAAGGTTTGCGCAGCTTGGCAAAGGATGACAACAACTGATGTTACAAAAAACAGGCAAATGGAAAATACGTATGCAAACAACAGTACGTTACTTACTGCACGTAATGTAATCCTTGTTACAACTATATCGAATGTGTTGTACTGGACAAAGTGGAACGAACGTGAAAGCGCGCAAAGTCGTCGGCCAGTGTGACAACATCAATTGCCCATGACTCGCCAAGGCTTCATATGTCAAGTCAATCACAAGCGGAAAGGCTAGCTGAGCATGGTGAAAGGATGTGAAAGGATGATTAGGATCACTAATGTTCGGTGGACCGCTTGAACCAGATGAAAAAATAATTCTGAAGGCTTTGCAGTGTGTGGTGATTCGCTTCCTTTTGACTCTCATGCTTGCTATGTTGTATAACTGCCCTTGGTCTAGTCCTGTTTCGAGCTGCCGTTGAACCTTCTGGTGTTGCACGACGCTATTCACGTCTATTGGTTACTCCTGTTTTTGAAGGACATATTCAGAAAGTGATGCAGCTGATGGATGTCCCTGAGACATGGCCCCCGATGATTTCCTTCTCAGTCCAAAGCCACCTCACGTGCACGCACGTTCACAAACACATTCAAACAGTTGGAACGCATAAAGTCTTGAGTGCTCAAGACTTTTTCAGGGATTGATCAGTACCTGTAGATCTCAGACGCATGTTGTACAGATCCCGAGGAAGGGCATTTCTGGCAGGGTATGCAGGTGCGACACTTCTTACCAGTTGGTGTGGGTTGCTTTTTTCCGGGCCCAGCTACGCCTTCTCCAGAGCGAATGCGAAGACCGCGGTCTTCGCTGAGGGTCTCGGAGCGGATCTGGGAGAAAAGGCTGAAGGTCTGGCAGCAAATTTGCAAAGTGAAGATCAACGAAGGGAATGGCTTCAGCTCTTGGAGACTGGGAAAGAAGACTGGGAAGATGTGAAACTAGTCCTGGGTTTGCTCTGGCAAAAGGCCGGGAAGGAGGGACGAGATGGAGGACCCTTGGGATATCCAATGGCCTTGGCTCGGCTCATTGAGGGAGTTTATGAAGGCTCTGACGGTGATGAAATCTTGGTGGCAGACATCGATGCACGGCTCACGCAAGTTCCGGATGGCGACCCTGCTGGTGACCCGGATCTGTGGAAGCGGTCTGTGGCACTCAGCTGCTTCAAGGAGCTGAGTTTTGTGAAGAGAGGCCTTTAGCAGCCACTGGAGCCAAAGATCGGCCAAAGTGTCCAAATGCCCAGTGGGCTGCCTACATTTGACAGATTTTCACAGTGTTTTCATAAAATGACACCACTAACACCCTGGATTGGGCTTTGAGTGCTGACACAAAAGGTTCAAAGTGTCAGCTTGCCCAGCAAGAGCACCAAGATAAGCAATATTGGCTTCTGATCAGCTGTCAGGTTTCGATGTGTTTCCATGCAATCCTGCTGCATCCAGTTGCCAATTTGCAGGTATTTGGTTCAAGGTTGAAAAGCCGCAGAATGTCATGGTGCCGGCGTAACCAGCTGAGGCAGGGTGAAGAAATCTGGAGATGTGAACGTGGCCATCAACACAGGTCTGAAAAAAATTGGACCCGCTAAAAATCCAACAGTTTATCATGGTGTACAGCATCAGGTCTTTCACGATTGTCCATCTGAACATGGCCATTTTAAGGCATCCCCTCATTTTTTAGCAACCTCATAATTCACCACGGATGCGTCTGGATTTTATCTTCGTGTGAATCAGGAGTCGTTTAAAAGGACATGGATGACTTGGAATCATTTCGGGCTCGCTATCCCTTTGATGACGATGCTCCTCGGCCGGTGATCGACTGCAGCTGAAACATCATGAAACATCATGAAACATCTGCCATGCTGATGACTTTCCGATGACTTTCCGATGACAGGCTTACAATTACATCGTGAATTCCTCCTTGGAGGCCAACTCCGGCTGATCCCCGGGGTCCCCGGGCCCCAGCTGAAAGATCTCTTCCCCCCGCCAGGTGCAACAGGAGGTGTTGCGGGACTTCAAGCCAAAGCAGGAAGGTGAGGAGGACCTCCATGTGATATGTGAAGCATGTGGCAGTTGCTTGTTTTCAACATGTTGCTTGATTTCAGCATGTGAAGGATTGTTATTGGATGTTTTCAAATGTTCTTAGGTTGAGTTTTCCAGGAAAGCTTTTTGTTGATCAAGGTTCAGACTGTGGACCTGTGTGTGTCTCATTCATTTGTGGCTCTCTCTCTCTCTCTCTCTCGCTGTCTGTCTGTGTGTCTGTCTCCAGGACTATTCTGCTCTCGTCATGGGATTCACGAAGAGACGGCGGCAGCTACAAAGCTGCATTTTTGAGTTGTTGAACATCATGCTCCAGATTGTATCGCAAAAGGAGCTATGAAAGATATGGAAAGATTGTGATATCGATAGTTATTGAGAAACTTCTATTGGACACGTTGGACACCCTGGCAGGCTTGACAAAGAGCGCCGGATGCATGGCGGATACGTGCCTTGCATCGCAATCTGCGCAGTGGCTAATAGCGGCGAGTGATGGCTAGTGACTAGTGGATTCACTATGATTCACTAGTGGCGGGTCATGATCTCAAGTGACAGGCACCGCCTAATCAGATGATGCCGGATCATGGCAATGGATCTATCCATGACGAGTTGCAGGCAAGATTCATCCAGCTGCAAGTGACTGCAAGTGTGGCATGTTTCTGTCCATCTCATGGAATTCCAGCAGATCTAGAATTTCTATGAATTTCTGATGTCTAATTGCCGGGTCTATCATGAGGAAATTCTGGCTGCGCTGTTCCAAAGCTTCTCAGACCCCGTTTCCCAATATGGATGATACAGTTTTCTGCAGTCATCTCGCCTCAATTTCTGCGGCGCAGGCTTTCCTAGATCGATATCCAGTGGATGAGGATATATGGGGCAGACAGTATTGACCTTGATGGTATCAATTGGATGCAAACTTGCAGCCAGCTTCGCTGCTGGATTTCTAGCACTTTCGTGATGAGAAGCCATGGCAAGCCTGTGATAGAGCTGCTTGATGTTGCAGGAAGCCCAGCGATTCCTCAACACGTGCCCTCCACATGTTCAGCGGATCATATTCCAAACCTTCAAGCCGAAGAGAGAGGGCGAAGCGGTCAGCTGCTAAGATTCCACCAATAAAGCATCCCCACGTGGAGCTTTGAAAAAAGGGGGTTTTCCACATCGATCAGGATTATTCTGCCTTGCTCATCAGCTTTGCCAAGCGGATTCGGCAGTCGCAGCCAAAGGTGGCTCTCATTGGGCTATGAGCTATGGTTTCCCACCCTCAAAAAGGTCAAATCGGGTCAAGGGATGTCAAGGCGGTATGGTGAAAGATAGGTTTGGCATATTAGTTGGGGCAACATGTGTTTGAGCCTTTGACAGTGCAGGACATCATATGACGCCGTTGTCACATGTCATGAGTGCGATGAGAAGATATGTTGAAGTGTTGAATTGAAGACTTGCTGGCAAGGCTGCTCCCTTCATGGATTTTGCTGCGCCCTATGAGCACATCGTGCCTCCCAGAGACTTGAGGCCAGCAGGAGGCGGAAGTGGCTACGGACGTGTTCAAGGCGGAACGTCCCTCATTGGGATGAAGATCATTGAACACTCAGCACTGGACACCCCAAGGCACCATTTGGAGGTTTCCTGAAATAGGGGTACCCTTTACATCAATTAATGCCCCCAAATCATCCATTTTAATGGTATTATAAAATTATAAACCATCCATTTTGGGGTACCTCCATTTATGGAAACCCGGAACCCCCCATTTGGATCCATTTGGGATATTTGGGGACTGGGATTTCAAGCCTGGTGGCAGGTGTCAACTATGAGGCTTTCCGTGCACGCTACCCTTTCGACGATGCGGCGCACAACTACCTGTAGCTTTGCTAAGGTCATTTAAAACCATGCCCATGAAGTTTCATTGGACATGCCAATTGAAATTCCATGACCAAATCTTGCACCCCTTGGATATCCTTGGATGCTTCCTGGAAATCGTGTGATGGCTGAGGCAAAAGTTGCCCCCGGATGTTCGCATCCATGTCCTGCAGAACTTCAAGCCCCCGCAGGAGGGCGAGAGCGACTACTCGGCCTTGGTCATCAGCTACTGCAAAAAGACAAGGGAAGCCATGCACCCGCCTATGCATCAACCTATGCATCACCCGATGCATCAACCCATGCAACCGATGCATCAAGTCCCCCAAGGCTACCAAGGGCGACCCAGTTTGCCTCAAAGAGCCCCGTGGAGTCAGCCAGACCCGGCGCCTGTGGCTCCACGGGGATTGATGGGAGCCAGTGATAGCAATGCCAACATCTATGCACTGGAGGGATTTCGTCAAAGGTATCCCATGGATGACCGCGCTTTTGATTTTCTGAAATGTGCACCAGCTTTTGTTCAACAGCAGGTTTTGGAACATTTCAATCCTCAAAGAAAAGACGAAGCGGACTATTCTGCCTTGATCATCTCCTTTGCCAAGAAATGTCGTGAAAGAGAACAGGCAAACTTTGCGGCGAAGAGGCCCCGGATGTTCTGAGTTGGAATAGGTCACATGCACCGTTCCTGGTAGCTGTAGCTGGACCTATGTGCGCCCAACACGGGGATGCACTGATCTTTGTGTCATTTCGTGTCGATCTATATATGGCCTAGTGGTGACGAGTACTCCCTAGTCAAGGAATGATGTAGGAGAATAAAAAATGGATCACAGCAAAAGAGGGAGCGCTGATTGTTACCCGTTTGTGGTGATGTTTGCTAGTTTGGTCAATGTCATGTGCTGTCATGTGCGGCTTTGCGCCATTCATTCTCAGCAGCTATACAATACAAACCGCGATTGCCTTTTTCTTCCAGAGCTGAATGCGGTTTCTTCTGAGCCAGAACGCCAGGATGCTCACAAGGAAAGCAGCTATTTCTCCCTTAAGTGCGCATCACCTTGTGTCTCACATGATTGGTGTGTTGTTGAGCCAGAAACGGTTCAAGACAATCTGCAAGAGAATTCGGACCTTAAATCCAGTCCAGTGGTGAACACGAGGTCTAGCATTGTCTAGCAGGTCACCTGAAGCTTCAGAAGTGGGCCAATGTCGCCATGTCATTGGAAGTTGGCCTTCCAACCGCTCTATGTGGCCTGGTTGCAGGAGGAACCTGCCACAGCAATCCAATCTGGCCAATGGATATCAGATGACTTATGATGACTTTCTGATTTTTTCCGATGGTTTTTGGGAATTTCTCAGTTGCAATGTTGACACATGTTAACATGTTAGGATAGAGGCGAGTACCCAGGTAAGCTTACAATATGTTTAACAAAATGTTTACTCGAAACTGGAGAACATTACGGACATTACGGAGCAGTCTGAGGTCTAAGGGATGAGATCCTGGGCGAAGGTGGATGGTCCATTGTGCGAAAAGGTGATGTTTCTGGCTGCCAGGTGGCAGTGAAAACCTTCAACAATCAAGTGCTTAAGGATGTGGAACAGAGCGTTCGGCAAGATCGTTTCCTACGGGAGGTGAATGCCTTGAAAACACTTGGGGCCAGGGCCCCGTTGTGCCCGTTGTCTCCACATCCCACGCATCCCACGCATCCCATGCATCCCGCTGAGCATTTCGTGCAGCTGCTGGGCTACTCGAAATTCGATGGACTTCCGGGTCCGGCAGCGGATGGACGTTTCTACACGGTCCTGGAGTTGGGTGGGGAACGCTTAGACCAATGGCTTGCCAAAGGACTTGCGATGTCCAAACCTTGGCAGCCTTGGCATTTATCTGACTTTGGGGACATCGCCCGGTCCTTGTTTTCAGCCTTGTATCATCTACATTCACGTGAATTGGTCCATCTGGATGTCAAGCCAGAGAATATTATGCGCTTTGGCCGGTGCTGGAAGCTCATCGACTTGGAGTGCTGCATGTCGATAGGCAGAGACTTTGTCTTGACAGAAGATATCACCCCTCTGTATGCCAGCCCTGAGCTTGCGAGAGCTGCCATGGCGACTTCTGCGAGGACGACCCTTGTGCCGCCATCTTCCCAAATGGACATTTGGGCGGCTGGAGTTGCTTGATACAATGCATTTGGATTGAATTAAACTTATATATATATATTAAACTTATTAAACACATTAAACTAGCTTATAGTATTATGAATAAATTACGATTCAGAAACTTTACCCGATTCAGCAACTCCGATTCAGCAACTCCGATTCAGAAACTCCAAGGATTCAGAAACTCCGGGTTGTCCCGATTCAGCAACTCCCCCCTGTCCCGATTCAGCAACTCCACCCTGTTCCGATTCAGCAACTCCACCCTGTCCCGATTCAGCAACTCCACCCTGTCCCGATTCAGCAACTCCACCCTGTCCCGATTCAGCAACTCCACCCTGTCCCGATTCAGCAACTCCACCCTGTCCCGATTCAGCAACTCCACCCCCTCCCGATTCAGCAACTCCACCCTGTCCCGATTCAGCAACTCCTCCACCCCCTGTCCCGATTCAGCAACTCCACCCTCTCCCGATTCAGCAACTCCACCCTGTCCCGATTCAGCAACTCCACTCCACCCTGTCCCGATCAGCACTCCACCCTGTCCATTCGGCAACTCCACCCTGTCCCCGATCAGCAACTCCACCCCCCCCGATTCAGCAACTCCATCCCTCCACCCCCTCCCGATTCACAACTCCACCCTGTCCCGATTCAGCACCTCCACCCTGTCCGATCCGCAACTCACCCTGTCCCCTGCCTTCCCTTGCATAGAGTTCTTCTCACGGTTGCAAGTCATTTTTATAAACTTCCCCCCCCCCAAAGCTCTGCATACAATGGTATTCCTCAATGCACATCCTTCCCTTTCATAGAGTTCTTGTCAAGATTGCAAGTCATTTTCTAAACTTCCCCCCCGAAAAGCTCTGCATGCAATGGTATTTCTGAATGCGCATCCTTCCCTTGCATAGAGTTCTTGTCACCATTGCAAGTCATTTTCTAAACTTCCCCCCCCCAAAGCTCTGCATACGATGGTATTCCTCAATGCACATCCTTCCCTTGCATAGAGTTCTTCTCACGGTTGCAAGTCTTTTTATAAACTTCCCCCCCCCCAAAGCCCTGCATGCAATGGTATTCCTCAATGCAAATCCTTCCCTTGCATAGAGTTCTTGTCACCATTGCAAGTCATTTTCTAAACTTCCCCCCCAAAGCCCTACATGCAATAGTAGTCATCAATGCATACCTTCCCTTTCACAGAGTTCTTGTCACGATTGCAAGTCATTTTCTAAACTCCCCCCCCCAAAGCTCTGCATGCAATGGTATTCCTCAATGCACATCCTTCCCTTTCACAGAGTTCTTGTCACGATTGCAAGTCATTTTCTAAACTCCCCCCCCCACAGCTCTGCTGCCACTGTAAGTCCCTCATGGGGGACCCCCTAAAATCCTTCCCTTTCATCGAGTTCTTGTCACCTTTGCAAGTCATTTTCTAAACTTCCCCCCCCAAAGCTCTGCATGCAATGGTAGTCCTCAATGCACATCCTTCCCTTGCATAGAGTTCTTCTCACGGTTGCAAGTCATTTTTATAAACTTCCCCCCCCAAAGCTCTGCATACAATGGTATTCCTCAATGCACATCCTTCCCTTTCATAGAGTTCTTGTCAAGATTGCAAGTCATTTTCTAAACTTCCCCCCCGAAAAGCTCTGCATGCCATGGTATTTCTGAATGCGCATCCTTCCCTTGCATAGAGTTCTTGTCACCATTGCAAGTCATTTTCTAAACTTCCCACCCTCAAGCTCTGCATGCAATGGTATTTCTGAATGCGCATCCTTCCCTTGCATAGAGTTCTTGTCACCATTGCAAGTCATTTTCTAAACTTCCCCCCCCCAAGCTCTGCATACAATGGTATTCCTCAATGCACATCCTTCCCTTTCATCGAGTTCTTGTCACCTTTGCAAGTCATTTTCTAAACTTCCCCCCCCAAAGCTCTGCATGCAATGGTAGTCCTCAATGCACATCCTTCCCTTGCATAGAGTTCTTGTCACGGTGGCAAGTCATTTTTATAAACTTCCCCCCCCAAAGCTCTGCATACAATGGTATTCCTCAATGCACATCCTTCCCTTTCATAGAGTTCTTGTCACCATTGCAAGTCATTTTCTAAACTTCCCCCCCCCCAAAGCTCTGCATACAATGGTATTCCTCAATGCACATCCTTCCCTTTCACGAGTTCTTGTCACTTTGCAAGTCATTTTCTAAACTTCCCCCCCAAAGCTCTGCATGCAATGGTAGTCCTCAATGCACATCCTTCCCTTGCATAGAGTTCTTGTCATGGTTGCAAGTCATTTTCTAAACTTCCCCCCCCCCAAAGCTCTGCATGCAAGGGTATTCCTCAATGCACATCCTTCCCTTTCATAGAGTTCTTGTCACCATTGCAAGTCATTTTCTAAACTTCCCCCCCCCCAAAGCTCTGCATACAATGGTATTCCTCAATGCACACCCTTCCTTTTCACAGAGTTCTTGTCACGATTGCAAGTCATTTTCTAAACTTCCCCCCCTATCGGTGTCCTCTTTTTTGAAACTTCCACCACCGCCTTGCGCGGTACTACTGCTAATAGAATGGAATTGCACTGTTTTTTGGGGATGGAATTCTGCAACAATGCAGCTATATGGCCCACATGGCCACCATAGTTCAAGCGGTCGATACAAGTCTTGGAACCTCCAGCAGGGCATGCCGAAGGCACAACGTCAGTTCTGAGCTCGAAAAAAAAAACACCAACTATCATTTGCGGCGTCGTGTTTGGCGGAGGCGGAATAGTTATGGGAACTCAAAGTAGATCAATGGACCGTTGTCGCCCATTCTACATGCATATCATGCATATAGACCATATACACTCCAGATATAAAGGAATTGTTCACTTGTCCGCATTCTCACTGTTTGCGTCAAGTGATCATTGGTATAAATCCTGCTGCTGTAAGTTTGACAAGGCATCAGCTGCACTTGCATGTAAGTGATTCCCAATGATGGGAAACACCAGTCAATATTGGGATACATTGGATTCGTGTATGATCAACCATTTGCATTTTGGAGATCAGTTTGCATTTTCAGATCAATCCGACGAACTACATCCGGAATGTTCTTTTTTCCACAATGCAGTTTGTTTTTTTTTAGATCTCGGCACTGGGAGTTTCCACACCAATGCTCTTTCCAAATCCCAAATTCAAGTTTCCGAATCCGGGGGGAGCCGCAACTTTCCGTATCCGAAGGCCTTGAAGTTTCCGAATCCAAGGGCCTGGAAGTTTCCGAATCCGTGTCTTCGAAGTTTCCGAATCCGGGGGACAGCGAGTTTCCGAATCCGACGCCCTGGCAGTTTCCGAATCCGAGGGCTTCCGAGTCTCCGAATCCGGGGGGCAGGGAGTTTCCGAATCCGAGGGCCACGGAGTTTCCGAATCCGTGGGCCTTGAAGTTTCCGAATCCGAGGGCCCGGAAGTTTCCGAATCCGAGGGCCTGGAAGTTTCCGAATCCGTGGGCTTCGAAGTTTCCGAATCCGGGGGGCAGCGAGTTTCCGAATCCGACACCCTGGGAGTTTCCGAATCCGTGGGCCTTGAAGTTTCCGAATCCGAGGGCCTGCAAGTTTCCGAATCCGAGGGCCAGGAAGTTTCCAAATCCGCGGGCTTCGAAGTTTCCGAATCCGGGGGGCAGCAAGTTTCCGAATCCGAGGGTCTGGAAGTTTCGGAATCCGTGGGCTTCAAAGTTTCCGAATCCGGGGGGCAGCAAGTTTCCGAATCCGAGGGCCTGGAAGTTTCCGAATCCGTGAGCTTCGAAGTTTCCGAATCCGGGGGGCTCGGAGTTTCCGAATCCGAGGGCCAGGAAGTTTCCGCATCCGGGGGGCAGCAAGTTTCCGAATCCGAGGGCCTGGAAGTTTCCGAATCCGTTGGCTTCGAAGTTTCCGAATCCGGGGGGCAGGAAGTTTCCGAATCCGAGGGCCAGGGAGTTTCCGAATCCGTGGGCTTCGAAGTTTCCGAATCCGAGGGCCTGGAAGTTTCCGAATCCGACGCTAAAGTTTCCGAATCCGGGGGGGAGGGAGTTTCCGAATCCGAGGGCCTGGGAGTTTCCGAATCCGACGCTGAAGTTTCCGAATCCGACGTTGGCCATAGTATTATAGTAGTTAATCTATGTTATATATCTCGAGAAACTGATTCAGAGAAGCAGGTTGGCACCAGGCACCAGCCAACTGCGCTGATTGGAGGTCGATACAAGTTGATCATGTCTTTCCTTTGGCTGGGTGGAATTCACTGTTGCCTTTGTAGGCCTTTGTATGGTCTTGTTCTTTTGGTTACAGTACTTCCTACTCTCTCATCCATGATGCCGCACTCGCAACGACCGGGAAGGCCACTGGCAACGACATGCATTTTACATCCTTTTTCACATCAAGAATATGCATTAATATGCATGTATATCTGTATGTCCAGAGGTACGATATTTTAGACACATATGGTACGATAAGTAGATATATAGATAAGATAGCCAGACAGACAAACAGACATGAAAAAAGTGAGGGATGCGCAACCTAGAACCCCCACAGCCCAACCGGTGGAACACAGCGAAATTCTTTGGGGGTAGCCGTTTCCAGCGGCATGCTTTGATCTGAGGTTGTCTTACTGGATGTGCTTGCAGAAGGCTGTTGTTTTGGTGAGATGAAGGCCACACAGCACACGTGGCAGGAACTAAACTGCAATCATTTCGGCAGTGCAAGTGACGTCTAGTTACTAGTTTTAATTCTTGGCCACCGACGAACATGGTTTTCATGCATTTGCATGCTATGCTGGAGAGGCTTCTTTTGATCTTCAAGCCTTGTTCGAAGAGGAGGCATTTTCGAATGAAGGCTGGTATGGTGACTTGACAGTCTCCAGTCTTAGTTGCTTTGCAGACACAGTATATAATGACGCACGCGCACAAATACCTAAGCCTATATAAATATACATATATGATCATATATGGGCGTGTCTGAAAAGGGGCCAATTTCAATTACTAACATTGGGGAGATAATTGACGTGGAACTTAGGGGTACCCTATTTTCAGACAAACCCACATGTATGCATGGTATACTATGTGTATATAATATACCTACATTGTTACATACACATTACATGGTACACATAATATACTTGTGTTCCTTCACATGCATGCAAATATGCATATTCATAAACTAACGTAATCACAATGAATATTTGCGTAATCATGTGTGAGGGACACGACGGTCCTTGAATCTGATGAAACAGCCTGAAACAGCCCAGCTTCTCTGTACTAAGGATGGCTTTCCTCACCAGAGCCTTTGGACTTTCGAAGCCTCCTCGAAAGCTGTGATTCCTTCCGTGGAAGACTGGATGCCCAACTGGAAGCGTTTCTAAAAGTGATCCTGGCCAAGGATACCCAAGTGTGCACATCAAATGCTGAACGATCATTCAAAGAATCTCATTTCACATTGTCTCACATTGCCATTTGCAAGCATCAACTACTCTGCATGACATGTCATGAGGAGCCAACGTGTCGACTATCGGCTTTGCAGTTGAGAGATCACGAGCTCTTTGGTTCTACTAACTGCCTGTACCCTTTCGGTATTTCTGAGTGTATATAAAGATTATAGACTTTGTTGTCGCCAATTTAATTTGGAGGATAACTAGCGTGATGATGAGGAGGAGGAGGAGGGAAAAGAAGTGGTTGTGACGGATGTTTTATGGCGGCTGCTGCTGCTGCTGCTGCGGCCGTTGCAAGTTGTGAGCCGGAAGTTGTAATTAAATTGTCAGTTGTAAGCCCAAGTCCTTTGTGCAGCGCTTCACGGTTCTGTTGCTCTAGCCTGTGAAAGCGGCAGTATTGGTCTGACCATGATGATGTTTGCCCCCGCCCTGTTCTTTTCGCAACCAGTTTCTTCTCACTTGAAGTGTGGACTGATGTGGATTGGCTGAGGTTGCTGCAAGCACCCCGTGACAGAGGTCGACGTATTGTCGAAAAAGTTTTCAGCAGCTTGACCCGTACTGGTTTCCGGCGAAGCAGCCGCAACGAACGCGTGTCCAAAACGCCCCACCAACCCCAGTGGGATTTACAAGTTTATCCTCGAATAAAGAACATGGAGAGAGAGAGGTCCCTGCTGCCCCTGGAGTCAAATCAAAATGTCCAGGTGTTGGTTCAACAATTTCCGATTGCAATCCCTAGGTGCTGCAGCAGGTCAGGACGAGGATCCACCTCTATATTCGCGCGACATGTTGATGGAAGCGCCTTTGCTTGGGAGTTTAGGCATTCAAATGCAGACTCCTCGGGGACAGATTTCAGCAAGAAATTGAACTTGGGACTTCGGGCAGCTGATTTGCTGCTGAGGTTCTCGTTTGCATTGGTGTCGCAGCACAGGTTCTTGGATCAATTGGGACATGTTGAGATTGAAAAATCACTGCAGTCATTCTGTTTTGCCCGTCCTGGTCCAGCCCACTCTCCGGATCTCACCGGCGCCAAGGATGCCAATTGCATGCTAGATGCATTGTGCCAACATTTGGGTTGCAGTGCCTTTTCGTGCACGTCTCTGCTAAACTTTTTATATCATGCATGAACGACCTTCGCAGCTGGATTGGGAGATCAAGATGGTTTCTCACAAAACATAACGATACGCGGATTGTCCGCATAATAAAAAGGACAAACTATTATAATTATACGAAAATACAAAAGGGGAAACAATAGGAAAAAAACGACAGATATGCATACTTTTTACATTCCATTACGACTTCCTGAATCCAATCCTGATTAAAAAACACGGTGCAGAACATGAAGGCTATTGCTGCCACAAGCCTCCCAGAAGAAAAATAATTCCAATTTCCAAATTCCGGGCCCTTGAGCCAATATACGATATATAACATTATCCTATTTCCGAAAGGGTTTTCCTTTAACCAAGAACAATATAATTTATCTTAACTTATATATAGTTCAAGTTTCGCACCATCACAACTTTTAGTAATTGAACGATTTCATTGTTTTAGGACCGTGCGCCTGGAAAAAGTTCAATTTTTAGTATCGCGTTGATTTTTAAAGCTTATATTCATTCTTTCAAGGGGGTAAACGCTGGTTGCTGCTTGCTTGCTGCTTGCTTGCTGCTTGCTTGCTGCTGCTTGCCTGCTGGCCTGCTTGCCTGCTTGCCTGCTTGCCTGCTTGCCTGCTTGCCTGCTTGCCTGCTTGCCTGCTTGCCTGCTTGCCTGCTTGCCTGCTTGCCTGCTTGCCTGCTTGCCTGCTTGCCTGCTTGCCTGCTTGCCTGCTTGCCTGCTTGCCTGCTTGCCTGCCTGCCTGCCTGCCTGCCTGCCTGCCTGCCTGCTTGCCTGCTTGCCTGCTTGCCTGCTTGCCTGCTTGCCTGCTTGCCTGCTTGCCTGCTTGCCTGCTTGCTTGCCTGCTGCCTTTGCTGCCTTGGTGCTTGCTGCTGCTTGCTGCTTGTGCTTGCTGCTGCTTGCTGTTTGTTGCTTGCTTGCTGATTGCGGCTTGTCTTGCTGGCTGCTTGCTGCTTGTGCTTGCTGCTGCGTGCTGCTTGTGCTTGCGGCTGCTTGCTGCTTTGTGCTTGCCTGCTGCTTTGCTGCTTTGTGCCTTTGCTGCTGCTTGCTGCTTTGTGCTTGTGCTGCTTGCTTTGCTGCTTGTGCTTGCTGCTTGACTTGCTGCTGTGCTGCCTGCTTCTTGCTGGGGGCTTGTGCTTGCTGCTGCTTGCTGCTTGTTGGCTTGCCTGCTGCTATGCTGCTTTGTGCTTGCTGCTCTGCTTGCTGGCTTTGTGCTTGTGCTGTTGCTGCTGCTTGCTGCGCTTGCCTGCTGCTTTCTCCTGCTGCTTGCTGCTGCTTGCTGCTGCTTGCTGCTGCTTGCTGCTGCTTGCTGCTGCTTGCTGCTTTCTTTATTTTCCTCACAGACTATTACTTTTTCTCTTTTCATTATTTCCTTCGTTCACTCAATTTTACTCTTTCTCAAATCAAACCATTATGGGTCCATTATGGCAGAATGATTGTTTGTAATGCAAAGCAGTGCTGGCAGAAGAGTATTCTGCAGTGCGAGGGGTGGACTTTCTTGTGTTTGTTATAATGGTACTTTGATGTACTTTATATCCTTCAAATGAAGGCAATCCCCTTGTGTTTTGATGGATTGCTG